CAAATCCATTTTCCGATGTCTCTACATATAGGTTTGATCAATAAGAATTCCATCATAACCTCTGATATAATTTTCTCTTTCGAGAGTCGTCGCACGAAACGTCCAACTTCAATATAAAATGACCGGTAGCGGTATAGGCGATCATACGTATTTTCCACTAGCAATTTTAGAATGTACCTCAGCTTCCCTTGAGGAGATTTTAGAACGAGCATGATATTTACTTTACGCGACAATCTCTCAGAAAATAGACGCAACATCGGGCGAGAATTTAAAGACAACTCCGCGTATATTCAAACTATGAGAGTAATTTCGAACGAGTCGTCTCATCAATTACTGTATATATTTTGCGAATATGTTAGGAACGTCACGGCAGACGTGTTTGCGCAAGAGCCGACGCGCAAAAACCGCACTCCCACAATAGGAAATATTTCGCGCAAGCTGCTGCAACTCGCATTGCTACGTCACAACTAATTAACGCCGCGAATGCAACAAGTACCTCTTTCCGTTTCTACCCTTACTTTGGTTCTCATAAATTCGCGGCCGTAATCGGTTCGTCGAGGGATGCGAAAGCACGAAATTGCTCTCTAAAATGAGCGGCAAATTGTGACGCCAAAATTGAGTTTAAGCCCCGGGTTAATGTATCATTATCGGCGCCATCGAGACCGGTCCTTCGAGAACAAAAAGCGGCACTCTCCACCGCGACAAAAGAGGTACTTGCCGGTGCACGGTGCGCGAAGTATACGTTAATACTGTCCGCGTGGACTGTGTGTGCGACCAGGCGATAATGGAATTTTATATATTCCGCTTAAACACACACTGTTTTCACAAGTTCCGGTTGTACGGTGTACCGGCGGCACCGCACCACGGCCGGAAGCTAAGAAATATCTCATCTCGGAAGTATAATTTTAGAGACATATATCTTCCCTTTTTTCTTCTCTCTGTGAAAAAGATTCAATATGATATTTCACATCTGCCGCGCACACTGCACGTGCTCGGGGAACGTTCGCAAAGATTCGCGCTCATTAATTACAGCTATTAATTATCCTTCAACTTTTCCATTACAGCGAGGCAGAAGATACCGCATCGCGCGCCGCTAACTAAACACGCTGACAAAACCGGGCCCACTTATAATTTCGAAGGGCTACTTTTTTCCCCGCTCATACGTTCGTATCAACTTTTTATTCGCCACTTAAATGTGTACAACACAAACCGCAAACAATGCCGCCGGGGCTCGGGCTACACCCCGCAAAACTGGCGCGCACCCGATACCCCGTCGACGCAGCCGTGCTCAATCCTTAATTTATGGCGGCTTAATGCCAAACAAATAAACTCGTCCGCCTCGCAAATTTACTTCCGACTTGCGCGACAGCCGTGGTCACCGCCGAGATAAACATCCCCTTTTATTAGTTCTTCTGCCGACCATCGAAAGCCCAAAAAGGGGGATGGAGCAATTTTGCCTCGCTTCCTCCGATTGAGCAAAGGGAGAGAGAGAGAGAGAGAGAGAGAGAGAGAGAGAGAGAGAGAGAGAGAGAGAGAGAGAGAGAGAGAGAGAGAGAGAGAAGAAGAAGAAGAGAAAGAAAGGGACAAAGCGCACTTTAGTTTTCCCCTTTTTTCCGGGCGCTTTTTGTTGCGCGCACCACGCTCGAAGGATTTATTGGCGTCGGGTTACCTGTCGGCCCTCTCTTTTCCTCCCGTGATAACCGCGCCGTAACTCCGGTAAGTTTCGGATTATTTCCCTTTTTTTCTCGCATACGAGTGGCTCACGGTCGTTTTAAGCCCCGACTGATAAGAATTTGAAATATACCGCGCGCCGAGACTCGATCACGTGCGATACGCAAAGGATCGCAATTATACCGCGAGGGTCAGCACTGCCGCGATAAATCGCCGAGGCTGAGAGTAGGGTGCATGTCATTAACCCGATTCCTCCTCATCCCCTCTTTTCTTTTACTTCTTTCCTCCTCCTATCTATCTTTCTTTCTTTTCTTCTCCTTCTCTTGTTGCAATCAAGCGGAATATTAAGGAGCATCGGCCGGGAGAACGTAACGGCGAGACGTTGTCTAAAGACGCTTCACCCTCCCCTCTTTACCGTTTTCCTTTTGGACGGCTTACTCAGACTGGGCAAGCTTCCAGGAGCCTGTTGGGTCGAGTTTTCGTAGTTTTACTTACCGGTGGAGACGCGTGGAGTGATGGTATCGAGGCTGCGGTGGATGTCGAAGTCGGAAATCAATGAGACTTCTTGCGCTCTCGGAGCTCGCCAGCGCTACGAAATATCAATTCTTGATATTAATTATCGGCCCTCACGACGTTTCGTAAATTGTCGCGCGAGACAAATGGCCAGCTGGGGGGGGGGGAAGGGTGTCGCTCGCGACATGTGTTATCAAAGTTCTCGAGAGCGACGCCCGTATCTACGTCGTCCGGACAAATAGGACAGATCGCGCAACGCAAAGGATCCGACGACGCTGTACTGTAAAATAAACGGCGCACTTGTGTCACCGAGCACGTCGAATACAGATTGAGCCATGCAAGCAAGCATCAAGTATAGTATCGAAAGTAACTCGCTCGAAATATATGTGTACCTGTGTGTACGAGGATAAACGGCCGACCATCTATAAAACCTGCGCCCGGTGTACAAAGAACCTCAACGACGCAAATTTCCAATTCACCGGCCAAATCATGAAAAACGTATTTACTCCGGCGCTCGGTCAAATGTCGCGTATCTGCGATTTCCCACAGCAACCAAGGTGCCTCTCGAGCCACTCGAGCGGCAGTTTTGGCAGAAACTACGCGAAAATAGCGACTTGCAAATTCCGAATTTTTCAAGGACTCACCCAGATTTCTCAACGTTAATTCAACGATTGCTTATTCGCGATGCATAGACACACTGCAGTGCAGTTTCGACGAAAGGAGCAAGCGAACGGCTGTTCAAAATTTTATTATCGTCGATAGAATTTTTGACCGATTAAATTGTATATGCCGGCAGCAACACGGAGTAAAGACTTCAGCAAGTTTGACGGCAATGTAGCAACCTCGTCCTCTCTTCTGATCAATCCTTTCGTCAAAAAGGAGCAAAACTTAGTTAACGCGAGTTATACTATTATATTTACGCAATCCTATTGCAATTGTCGCTATCAATTAATGCCCCCTTATCAGGCGGAATCCCCCATAGCTATGAGCAATATGTGCGTCAAACTAGTCTCCGACTAAAGTTCCGGAGATCCGATCTTATCTCACCATCAAAATACTGCACGAGGTACCACGTAATGTGGCTTAGGTCTGATCACAGCCATATTTAATGCCCTTCCTCGGGTCGTTCCCGTAGGAAAACAAAGCCGAAGTCGTATTCCGAGCTACTGAAGAGCCACGACGAGCAAGCTTATTATTTAACAATGTTATCAGAAAATAGCCTTCGTTCTAGAAAAATTGAGTAATATATATATATATATATATATATATATATATTTCTAATAAATCGCACGCCTCGAATGTAACAGTTAGTAGCAATTAACAACATTGACGAATAACAGACTGATTTCGACTATATTTTTGAACGATATTTTTGTTAACGTCATTAGATTTACGTTAAAGGATCTGTCACACTGTTGACATTGAGATAACGAATATCATGTGTGTATATCGATATGTAGGAACGTAATTGGAGGACATCTTTTTGAAGCACTTCATAGGTAAAATTGCCTTTTGAAAGTAACTTTATCGACAACGTCAGATAAAATAATAAATTCTCCAACGAAACCGGAAATCTATCACATGATACAATTAACAATTTTACTTTCTGTCCTATTGGTAATTAATCGAGTTCCGCACCATCGAAAATCAATGGTGCTGTCATCCGCGTCAGAACTCAATAATTCCTAATATCACGTAGAGTCAATAGCTCTCGGTGATATTAAAAATCAATAGCCTGCCATTTTATGAAACATCAATAACCTCTTGTAAGCTTGTAAATTTTCAAATGCTGTTCAATTCTGTACTTTCAGGAATAGACTATAAGATTACTTACTTGACATTAAAAGATCGAACTGATCCTACTAAACAATTTAAATTCTCGTTAAAATTTATAAAGTCGTACAGTTCGAAGCTAGCCGTTCGACACGATGAAAAATATTTAAAGAGTATAGAAATCATCCACACGCGGGAAGATTAAAGTCCTTCGTAAAGGGGAGTCGATAAAATTCATTTTCCTACGCTACGCGCAATAACACAGCATAACTATTCCACTCGGAAATGACGACGCGAACAGGAAGCATAGTAATTTGAATTCCTTCACGTTCTGCGAGTGCGCCTTTAAGGCGCACGGAAGTAACGCGAATTCACGCGGTTTTGATTCGCCTTGCAATTGACAGGTCAATTTTATCCCGAGAAATTCTTTGTTTGTAATAAGAATCATTTCTGAGAATCGATTCAGTGTTACATATGTTACGGACAGTGTCCGCCGATCTTAGACGACAATCGGAATTGTGTCACGAGAACATGGCTACTGCTATCTTGAAATGACAGCTTGCGAACATATCCGGTGTAACGAGGGAAAAACAGCGTTCAACACGGAGATCGATATGACGCGTATTACAAAATTGAATAACATTTAATGAAAATTTCAAATAACATAGATGCAGAGTGTGTTCATGTTCACTTCATTGACACATTTTTGCCGTAATGGAACTACGATATTCTGTTCGCACGCAAGACTGTACCACAAGAAATTCAGTGTTGAAATTCTTATTTAAAGCAGAAACCAATTTCGAACTGTGTGCGATCACCGCGATGTTATGATTACGTTTTATTATTGCAAAGTAATACTGTGAAATATACATCAGTAAAAGTAATATTTATAATAAGATTATTAATACCTGATATGAAGACAACTTCGTACGAAGAAGGTTCGAGTGAAAAAGAGGGAGGCTGGTAGTATAAAGACCTAGATTATGCCACTACTATATTCGAATTTTCATGGAGTGGATAGCACCGCCATCTAAAGTGAATATGAGAAAATATCAGTACGACCAGAAGTTACCACTAATATTACACGCGCACTAGTTCAGAAAGTTCTTCGAAAAAAATGGACTACGCATCCAAAAATATATATCTCAATAATTTGCACAATAATTAGGTACTCAAATGTTCAAGAATAAGAAGAGGTTGAATATCTAGGTAACACCCGAATATACCTAGGTTTTCAGATACTGACTGAGATTAATAATTGAATAATTGATATAATAATAACACATCTAAACTATCAGAACATATTAAACAGTACCAAAAATTTTTACATATTATTTTTAACATATTTTTAATGTATTTGTAACAGATTGTCGCAGGATCATTATGAAACATTTGTCTGTCTTATCATCTGTTAGAATATATTTTTGTATATTTAAAAAATATTTATTACATTGTATTAAAATTATAAATCTCAAGAAAGGTGACAAAGTCAAATCTACTGTAGTAACATACATATTAATATCCCTGTTTTCGTTTGGAACACACACATACACAGTTTAACCTAACCTAACTTTTCTTAACTTATCAAATTCATCTTTATAGGAAGCAGAACTTGTTGTTGGATATCATAAAACGTGTTTTGGTTCTAAGCATGGAAAAAAATATAAGCAAGATAATTGATGTATCATGGAGATTTGGAGGTGAGATTATTCAATGTAAACTAGATGCAATCGTTTATTTCTTAAATCAAAATTGTATTATACATTAGAAATATCACTTTCTTATTTATACTTTATCGCTTATATTCAACATTTTTTTCACTATGTCTTAATAAAATCTGACAATAAATAATATTAATTAACATATACAATTTTCCTTTCTTTGTTTATTTTCAATGCTATATTTTAATCTACAATAAAAGATCATTCTGATAACAAATAAATGAGTATACTATTTTTTAATTTGTTACAGTGACTGCGGCAAGCAATGATTCTGACAATGTGGCAAAGTCATTTCTGCAACTTAAGTTAAGTCTTGATAATGGTGGTAAAATTAATAATGTGTTTATTGAAATGACAATAGGGCAGTTTTATAAATTTCTACATGACTTAGAAAAGGCAAAATGTAATCTTGACTTGTTATTATAATTAGATATATATTAGATTCATACATAGACATATATATATTCTATCATATTTAATAAAAAATGTCTTAATTCTTTATCTAAATTTTTTTACATATGTTACATGAAGTTCTATTGCATCAGATATTACAAAATAACTTGAATATATGAATGTTAAATTATTATAATTTTATATTCAATCCTTCTACCATATTTATAGTAAATTACATAATTTATACACATCACTATTTAAATGGAATTCCTTTTTAAATCTCTTCTAGAATAGTACTGTTAAGATAAATAAATAATTTTGTCATTTTATTGATTTATATCTTAATATTTTAATATCGGATACTAAAATTTATATTACTCAAATATTTGTGTATTATCTAAAATAATTAGAATGGAAAAAATGATGCTTAATACTTGAATAAAATCTATTAATAATTTTTATACTACTTAAATTTTGATATAAATAGTGATAAATACTGATATGAGATCAAACTGAAGTTTTATTATCTCCAAACTAGTTTTAAACACGTTTTTGAATTTAATTATGATTGCAAATAGAATATCATCACATCAAATTGATTCTAAAAACTTATTTATTAAACTGTAATATCTTGAAACAGAAATTAAATTCCTTAGCTGGAATGTGATTAGAAATTTATAAATGAATCATAATTTTTTGAATTCGTTTCCTTTAATATTCTGATTATAAGAATTTTTTCATAAATACAATTCTATATTAAATTTTTACAAAACTCCAACAATAAAGTGGAGATAAACGAAGATCATTACAGACAGAATGTTAATCTAATGAAAAATGATTAGTCAATCAAGTTTAATATGTGTTTTCTCAAAAAAAACGCAATTACTGACACAGGTTTATTACCATAAATACACTATAACTTAGATATATTAAAATTTATTATAGTAGAAAAAAATAATTAGAATAAATATGCATAATTCATACCTTGAAAGATTATTCCTCCCTGTTTTAGAAAAATAATGTGCAGCTTGTTTATAGCTACATTGTTCTTTGATTAAATTATTTCATAGATAGATAACCTTCTTGAGTAATAAAAATATCACATATTATTATATTATTATATATCACTGGGACACAAATAAGTATATTATCAATATCCTCCAGATGTTTCATGCAGTTTCTGTTCTGAAGAATGTATGATCTGAAAACAATATATAATAAATTTTATAATTATATATAGAAACATTTATCATCTTATACTGTGGCAAAATAATGGGAATGCGCTTTATTTATATCTGTTCATAAATAATATGTATTTGTATCTGTGTGTGTAAATATTGGTGCAGCAGGTCTCATAAGGAACAAAATAAGGTATGGAAAATGAAAGTAAACTATGTTGCGCTTCAACAAAATTTATATCAAACACTCAGAGAATTGCTGTTTTGTTTTATAACATAAACAGATTGTATATTGTGAAGCATTTATTTCCTACTTTTAGCACCATGTCGTTCCAGCACAGACCAAATCCATATTAGTAGACATTGTATTTTGGGGAATGATTTCGATTTTTCTCAAAACTAGCACATCATTTGATCTGTGTATATGTTTCAGCATTTTAAATTATTGTGCTGAAAGTATATATAAAAGTGAGAAACTTTATTTATTCTTTCAACGATATACATTTCATAGTGTGTTAACTATCTATACTTCTTGATCCGAGATAATTATACAATCATTACATCACATAAATAATTTAATAATTAAGGTCTCAAGGTAAATGTTTATTTACAATAAAAACATTTTCGTATATAAGAAAATTTAACGCATTTCGTTATATATGTATATATGTATGTGTATAATTAATGATAAAAGTATTTATATTGTCAAATACTTGTGTGTCTATTATAAAATTTATATAAAACTTTCTACGATGAGCCTGAGATTACCGTCGATATATCATTTAGTAATAAAATCAAATCGAAGTAATAAAATCGGCTCAATTTTTTCATATCAATAAACTACATATTACCTTGCGTGGATCAAAACTGTATAAAAAGAAAAGATTTTATGATCCGCGAAAAGGAAAGTGCAATTCAAACATATAAAGTTTGTCACTTTAATACTGCGTTATGAAATACTAATATGAACGTCGTCGAACTAGTGGAAATAAGAGCAATGAGCTGTATTTCAAGCGTATTTCAAAGCAATAAATATAATGGTATCTAACTGTATTTAACATTGTAATAATGCGAAGCTTGATTCACCTTACCCCTGACATTTAAAATAAGGTAAGAGGAATGAACGTGTTGGGATAAGCGAAATGTCTAGGTGTATGACAGAAAGGCATCACAGTTCCGGTACCCTTGTAAACCCTAGGAAGAAGCGGACTGGTTGGAGCACCTCTTTGGTTATTAGGCTCTGCTAATACTAGCGCAGGATTTGTTGGTTCGGATGATGACACTGTGTCTTCTAGCTTCAGCGCGTTGCTTTGTTGTAAGGACTTGCCTCTTTCCGCTTTTTGTTGAATAGACTCTAACACCGGTTGAATTGCACCGAGCAACGGACGTTTAGACGGCTCTCCGGACCAACATTGCTCCATCAATATCCAGCACTCCTCATCAAAACGTGGCAGTCTTTCGGGTCTGATACCTAAAATGACCAATTATATTTCAGGCTTTTGCTTTTTAGCTATATTCGTAACCAAATTATAACACTCAAAATTAAATAATAAGAGATAAATAGTAACTTTCGTCTCAAACAACTTCTGATAATTTACTCGCCTATGGCAAAGGACATTGCGGCGTACTTGTTATAATTATTTTTATCAACGAACATATTTTTCTTATAATACTAGCTCGATCTACATTTAACACAGAAACAGAACATTACCTTTTCGTACGCTTATCCACAATTGCTCCTTGTTATGAAATTGCTCAAATGCATACGGTAATCGAACATTGCCGGCGCATATATACCAAAATAGTATCCCAAAGGCATATACATCCACACTACTGTCGTAATGGCCAGATAAAAGTTCTGGCGCCATATGAATTGGTGTTCCCACAATGCTTCCAGACATCATCGCTTCTGTAATGCAGAATCCAAGATCTGTTAGTTTAGCTCTATTTTCCATATCGAGTAAGACATTCTTCAGCTTGATATCTCGATGCACCAGGCCTTGTGAATGAAGATAACGTATCGCTTCCAACACATCTATCGCTATTTGTATACGTTCCAGCCATGAAAGACTAGCGCGTAAGCCACAATATAAGTCGCGGCTTAGTCGATCGGTGATCAACAGGACAGCTCCTGATCCGAATCCTCCGCCGTACGATAGATCTATGATCGATCCACGAAGTTTCACTATTCTCTTGTGATCTGGTATTGACCTGGTATAGTAAACTTCCATCGCAAGATCGTTCCAGTGCCTTTCGTCCGGCGGTACGACCGATTTTATTGCGCACGGACCTGGGGCTCCACCCCAACCGTCGCACGAGTATACCACTCCGTATTGTCCCCTTCCGATCTCCTTGCCGCATTGTGGAATCCCGAAGCGAACTTTGTCCATCATAGACATGGATTCCAACGCAAGTTTGGCCAATTTAGGCGCGTGGTACTTTCGTATGGCTACCCTCTGTTCTTCTGTCCTCTCCAGATTCCCCGAATAATAATTCTCCAGAGAGTCCATAGCGTCCTGAAAGATGTCATGCGACGACTTCAGTTTCTCTTTGAACTGCGTAGATATTGTCCTTGCCAATCTTGCTGCCGACAAAGAGTTTAAGACGTCTATGGTGACCTTTCTTCTCCAGGCCATGTCCAAAATTGGAGTTGGCGTCCATGGTAATGGTAGAGATTTGAAAAGCTGCCTCAATCTTTCCAGGAATGAGTGCACTAAAGACGGCGACGAATTGTGTAGTTCTATATTATATGCTGTGGAAAGTATTTGTTTGAGTGCGTCACTGGCCAGTGGGTTGTTGTCATGTTCATATGTCTTTTCGAGACTTATTAAGCAACGTTCGAGAGTTCCAATGAATGTTTCTCGAAGACAGTTGATCGAATTCACAAGTTCCTTTGCAACTTTCTTGCCTAGGTGACTTAACACGTATTGTTGAACTTCCGATGTTGCGACACGAACAGTAGTTGCCCATTCTATCCGTTTATTATTATTGACAGTAGTTTGATATTGAGAAATACCACTAGTAGACATTAATATATCGTCTTTCATATCTTCAATGTTAAACTGTATCAACTCGGACAACGTTTCCTGCTGTTCATTAACGACTTTTAATAAATTAGCATAAAGTTCGTTTTCCTTTTGTTGAGCGTATTGTATTCTTCTAGGAGTAATCTGTATTTTGCGTGCCATGTCGAATGCACTTAGAATAAATTTGCGTAAACTGATTGTATGTATTTCGTTCAACCAATTGCTAACACTAAACAGATAATTTTGCAAACAGTTACGAGTAAAAGATAATATGTGGTCCATTTTGTTGCATGAATCCACTAGATGGCTCGAATTAACATACTGATCACCAACAAGCCACGTTAATTTGTGAACCTCTACGGATTCTTCCATACCAAGGAATCCTAAATTCGTTAATTGATGTAGCCATGTTAGACCGAGTGAATTCATTTTGTCAATACTAATACTGTTGTCATTTCTTGACTCGCTAGGATCAGTTGACACCAGTCTTTGATTTTGCAAACTGTGCTGCTCAGACTCAGTCAATTCTGCATCTACGAAAGAATCCAACGAAATATTCGTTAACGACGATATAAATAAAACTGGATGATACGGATAAGTTTCTTTCAATTCTCTCAATTCTTCCAAATTTTCTTCAGTCAATGGTTGCTCTCCAAGAGCATAAAGAAATATCGGTAAGATTCGTAATGAGCCCTTAGCAAGAACTTTTATGACACCATTATTTGGAACGATAAATATCTGGACATCGTCTTTTAGAATCGCTTGATCTAATTTCACATCCAATATTGTCGGACAATTGACATCTTCATTTCCTGACTTTGTTAAATCTTCGATAAGAAGTGTATTCCATGGTTTCTCATTTGACTGTAATTTCTCAATTATTTCATACTCTAAGTTTAAAGTGAGACTGACGTGATTTGTATGTCCATATGTGAGTTTAATCCATCTCCATAAACCATTGGATAATGGCAAAATATCAGTGGAGAGTAACTTATTAACTAGTGAAGCTTTGGCTTTATTGTCTTGTCCTAAGACAACTATTGCAGGGAAATTATCGAGTATGTATGTCACTTTGTTCAAAGTCAATGGTGGTAGTAATTCTTTGATGATATCCTCTGCAACATATAAATAAGTAAAATCAATTGATATATTATGTATGATGTATAATTACCTCCTGGAAAGAAGTTTTCAAGGTTTATGGCTTCCAATGCATGTTGCGTATCCTCAAGTACATGCTGTAGCTGATTCTTGTGGCGATGATACTTTTTGAACTCTTTTGATAATTTGCTTGCCATTTTTATCTACCTTATTATATTGTTATATATAGATCCCACAAAATGGTCACCTATCAACAAAAATACACAATTGATAAATTAACAAATATTTTTTACGCAACATATATAATAATATAATAAAAAAAAAATATATATAAAGTAAGTTTTAGGAATAGAGTACTCATACAATCTTTAAAATATTGCTTATACACATATTCAACCTCAAGTGTACTATATTTCAGATACTATCAAAACTGAATACCCTAATACATGAAATCAAAATTTCTATTCAATATTTTGGCCATATTCATCTTTTACCTGTATCCTGATTTCCATAGTAGATTTTGTTTCTTGTTTTTCTGAGGCATTATGTACATTAATTATGATGCTTGAATATTTGGATATTTAAGCACAAATAAATAGTATCATACATTTATTAATATGTATACATCTTTTTCGCATGTAAAATATATTATTGTTTCGGTGCAAACTATCCAGTTAACATCAGATATTAATAGAAGCCATAAATAAACATAAGTTTGATATATCTATTATATCTGAATCATGTCTAAGAATAGTGCATCCTGTACAATACTACATATATCAACAAACTAGTTTATACTGGTTGGAAATTTTTAATTTCTTATTAAAATTGAAGATGATTTTTATAATGTTGATCATTAATAAGATTAGTAGCTTTTCAAATTGAAAATATTTTGTAACATATTTAAAACAAAATTGTGTTCTCTAATCTAAATAAGAATGTTAAAAAAGACTTGATATCTTTCACTTAACATATTAAATATGTTGTTCATCCTATGTAATTATCTTTTTAATACTGAGCTGTGAGAAAATATAGCCAACTTATTATTCACTTCAAAAATTTCTTATGTAAGATGATGAAAGCTGTTCTTAACTTATCCTGTGGATGTTCTCAAGATATTCTATACGATAACCTAGAATTTTTAGAGGCTACTATTATATATTATCGGTCAATAACTTTTCCTCAAGATACAAAGAAGATTAAGATCAAATAACTTACTGTGTTTACGAGATATCTAGCATTTAAAATGAGGTACATGTGTACTCGATGGGAAGTATCGGTTTCACAGTGTACTAATTATAAAACATGATGTTACTCCTTTTCTTCTCTTTCTGTCACTGATACTGACCAAATGTTTACAATACGGTCAAAAGTGATGAAAAGTGTACATATTGCAACATCGGTTTTGCTCGTAATCGAAAGCGGTTAATCGCTGCTTCACACAATCGCTGAAGTCGTAGTTTTCTCACCGTAAGACTGCACTGTGATTGCAGTCATCTGCATATAAACGTTTTCACTGTCTTTATCAATTTCTTATTCAAGTAATCCAGAAGATAACTTTTACGAGACCAATGTGCTTATTTCACGTTCGAAACATATATACAGACACATCGTTGACACTTGTTCACCATCAACTGTCGCAGACTAAACTGACGTAGAAAAGTATAGTCGGCGTTGGAGATACTGTTGAGAGGGGAAGAGAAGAAGTCTACAAATGCGTTCGAGGAGAGCGCTGCTAACGCGTCATTTTATCTTTGTCGCTCATTAGATACACAACAAGGATACAATAACATATTAGCGCTCTCAGCGCCAATAGCGTGCTCCTCGAATGCAACCTAAGATAAGAAGAAACAAAACTTGCTCACACTCAGTAAACAGAAATAGTTATCTTTTAATAAAATTTTTATTTCTACGGAGTATAACTCATATAATGCCGATTAAAGTTAAACTTAAAACCCCTTTTTAGTGGTAAATTTAATTTTATATTATTCATTTTCATCTCTTGACTTTATATTTGACGTTTCACGTTCATTTGCACTGTTATTAATTATCAGATGCGATAAAGCACGATATACGAGTACCAAGATGCGATGCGTTTGATCGAAATTCTAAAGCCAGAAATGAAAATAGCCTTGCTGACGTCTTTGTACGTCAGTAATTGAAAGCTCAATCGTATTTGGTATGACAAATGTTTCAGAGAGATGCATGACGTCATTAATATGCATATTATTAATACAAATGGACCATACTCTAGAAGCGTTATTAACGCTGGCGTCATTGACACCTTCATTCGTATATTGCTCTACATACAAAATGTAAAAAGCAATGCACGATAAGCTGTATGCATCATTTAAATTCCATCTACATACACACACACACACACACGAATGCATAGTGCGATTCTACCGTGGCGTACTGATTGTTCTCCATGTTGTGTATAATTGATACATTTGATATAAATGCTGCTATTTAAAGTGTTATCGCACTTCTGAGGAAACAAACATCATAAAAACGAGAAAAGTAGTTTTTAATTATTACTTTTAGAGTAAAAACTTTTTTTATGTCGATATGTATAGCTTATCCATCAATAGACCTTTGCTTATGCTGTACGATAATCAACTGTCTTATTACATTATATTCACACATATAATGTATTTCATTGTGATAAAGTATGATAAAGAATGCAGATTAAAAACGGACAAAATAATAACAAGGTCTCCCCTATTCATGTAGATAATAACGGCGCACATATGTGCAAACATGTACATGCAACTTTGCATTTTTAAGAATTAAACCTAATGTTAATCTTCATGCTCTATTAAATTCTTACTCGTTTCTTTAAATTGACCGATAAATGGTAATCGTAATCCATAAATAATGTCGGAGAAAAAAACAGAGTACAAAAGACATTGATGCGCGTGTAAACTAAGAAGAACTTGCGTTGCGATGAAGCAAATGGATACGAAAATGATCGCGTTTCTTGTCGGTTTTGCAATGTCTTTTTATACTTTGTCTTACGCGAATGCATAATGCTCTCGATTAAACGAGAGATTCAAAAAACTCAAAATATTAAAAAGTATAATTGTGAAAACTGTAATTTTTATTTATAATAAATTTATAATAAAATAATAATATTAAGGAAAAATTATAAAGTATTACATAAAGTCTCTATTTCAATCAGTTCATTATTAAATTGATCATCAAAGAATAACATGTTATAATAACATATAAATGTTAGACAGTAATGAATAGATTTTTTTTTATTTATTATCTTGATAACTGATCAGCTGATCAATTATGAAACGTATTTTAATTAGTTTAAAGCCTACCAACTTTATAACCAAAAACAAAATTTTCAAAAGCGATTTTGGAATAGACCGTATACTCAACGAATTGAAATGATCAGTGAATGGTTTGTGATTATTGGGGCTTTACTGTTAGATTCTTAAATTTGAACCCATTATATCGAGGAATTACTCAGCCACTATGCACCGATGTTTTCTGAACATATGGTCCGTTCTTTTTAGCTACACCGCTGAACTAGTGCAATAAGTTAAAGCAGAGAGAAGCCTGCAGCCCGTATCAGACTACGGATTGGGATTGAGTATTGGATTGAAATTTAACCAATCAGGAGTAAGTTTACCATACTTGAGATTATTTTCTCTTTTTCAATTGATCAAATTTCAATCTAATCTCAATCCCAATCCATAGTCTGATACGGGCTTGAGAGCGGCCACGCCGGCGTTTTTGGCGACATGCATTTTGATGACTGATTTTAACGCCATCTGCGCCCATTTGCAGACGCTGCCGGCTGCAGTCTCTATTTGGTGCGTGTCCATTCTACGCCCATTTACTGGCCGTTCGTGTCTGTGGTACGCCTATAATTGCGGGTTTGAGAAACACGGTACCGCGCACAAACTTACACCTCGTTCAACAGCACATGATTCTTTTTCTGTACATATGCATTTCTATACATATTTTTGTAAAAAATTGCATCTTCTAATTATTATCCGAATTATTATCTCTCGTTACATTCGTAATTCGTAACAAGAGCAGGCGGTAATTCCCAGTCGACACAGAGCATTAGTTACATTATATTTATATTAAAATTTCGCACTCAACACCATGTGTGTTATATTACATTTATATTGTTGAGTGCGAAATTTTAACATAAATATAATGTTCTGTGTCGACTGGGTTGTTTCCTTCTCTCAATATTTTGGAAGCTTTGTTTCATGATAGTGTAGTTGTTCGAGATTCGAACCGGAAGATTTGCCTATTTCTGAAACGTTCTGGCAGAAGAGACAAGACCGAGAGAGACAACAATTTGTTCCTATTTTTCAGGTACATACCCCTCTAATCTTATTCAACAAATTAACTCGGATAAACGAGCGATTCGTATCAATTTTTCTTGTCTTATAAAAAAATGAGAAAATAAATCAGTACCGAAAATCGAAGACCGTTCAACATCTATTTTTTCATCAAATTAACGCGGATAAATGAACAATTCGCCTGAATTTTTTCTTTTCTTATAGAAAAATGAAAGGAGAAATCAGTACCGAAAATCGAATACTGATCAATATCGAATTTATTCATCAAATTAATGTGGATAAACAAACGATTTGTATCAATCTTGTTTTCTTTTATAGAGAAATCAAAGACTAAATCAGTACCGAAAACCGGATCAATACTATAAATCAGCGTTAGAAAATTGTCTAAGTGCAATGACAAGTTGTTTTCAGCTTGCAGGTACTTACCCCACTAATTTACTCAACAAATTAAGTCGGATAAAAGAACGATTCGTATCAATTTTTATTTTCTTATAAAGAAATTAGAGAATTAGTCAGTACCGAAAATTGAAGACCGACCAATATTTAATTTATTCATCAAATTAACGCGGATAAATGAACGATTCGTATGAATTTTTTTTCTTATAGAGAAATGGAAGAGTAAATCAGTACCGAAAATCAAATATCGATCAATACCGTAAATCAATGTCAGAAAATCGTCCAAGAACAATGACAATTTGTTCTTATTTTCCAGGTATTTATCTCTCTAATTTACTCAATAAATTAACTCGAATAAACGAATGATTTGTATCAATTTTTCTTATCTTATAAAGAAATGAGAGAATAAATCAGTACCGAAAATTGAAGATGATCAATATTTAATTTATTCATCGAATTAACGCGGATAAATGAACGATTCGTATCAATTTTTTTTTCTTATAGAAAAATGAAACAGTAAATCAGTACCGAAAATCGAATATCGATTAATACCATAAATCAGTGTCAAAAAATTGTCCAAGCGCAATGACAATTTGTTTTCATTCTTTAGGTACTTACCCCTCTAATCTTATTCAACAAATTAACTTGGATAAACGAACGATTCGTATCAATTTTTTTTGTCTTTTAAAAAATGAGAAAATAAATCAGTACCGAAAACCGAAGACTAATCAGTACCATAAATCAATGTCAAGAAAATTGTCCAAGTGCAATGACAAGTTGTTTTCATCTTGCAGGTACTTACCCCACTAATTTACTCAACAAATTAAGTCGGATAAAAGAACGATTCGTATGAATTTTTCTTCTCTTATAAAGAAATTAAAGAATCAGTCAGTACCGCAAATTTAAAGACCGATCAATATTTAATTTATTCATCGAATTAACGCGGATAAATGATCGATTCGTATCAATTTTTTTTTCTTAAGGAGAAATGAAAGAGTAGAAATCAGTACCGAAAAACGAATATCGATTAATACCGTAAATCAGTGTCAAAAAATTGTCCAAGTGCAATGACAATTTGTTTTCATTTTTCAGGTACCTACCCCTCTAATATTATTCAACAAATTAACTCGGATAAACGAACGATTCGTATCAATATTTCTGTCTTATAAAAAAATGAGAAAATAAATCAGTACCGAAAATTGAAGACCGATCATTATTTAATTTATTCATCAAATTAACGCGGATAAATGAACGAGTCGTATCAATTTTTTTTCTTGTAGAGAAATGAAAGAGTAAATTAGTACCGAAAATCAAATATCGTTTAATACCATAAATCAGTGTCAAAAAATTGTCCAAGTGCAATGACAATTTGTTCTCATTTTTCAAGTACTCACCCCTCTAATCTTATTCAACAAATTAACTCGGATAAACGGAAAATTCATATCAATTTTTCTTGTCTTATAAAAAAATAAGAAAATAAATCAGTACCGAAAATCGAAGACCGTTCAATATCTAATTTTTTTCATCAAATTAACGCGAATAAATGAACATTTCGTCTGAATTTTTTCTTTTCTTATAGAAAAATGTAAGGAGAAATTAGTACCGAAAATCGCATATCGATCAATATCGAATTTATTCATAAAATTAACGTGGATAAACAAACGATTTGTATCAATTTTGATTTCTTTTATAGAGAAAGCAAAGACTAAATCAGTACCGAAAACTGGATATTGATCAATACTATAAATCAACGTTAGAAAATTGTCTAAGTGCAATGACAAGTTATTTTCATCTTGCAGGTACTTACCCCACTAATTTACTCGACAAATTAAGTCGGATAAAAGAACGATTCGTATCAATTTTTCGTCTCTTATAAAGAAATTAGAGGATCAGTCAATACCGAAAATTGAAGACCGATCAATATTTAATTTATTCACCAAATTAACGCGGATAAATTAACGATTCGTATGAACTTTTTTTTCTTATAGAGAAATGAAAGAGTAAATCAGTACCGAAAATCGAATACCGATCAATACCGTAAATCAGTGTCAGAAAATTGTCCAAGTACGACAATTTTTCATTCTTCAGGTATTTATCCCTCTAATTTACTCAACAAATTAACTCGAATAAGCGAATGATTCGTATCAATTTTTCTTGTCTTATAAAGAAATGAGAGAATAAATCAGTTCCGAAAATTGAAGACCAATCAGTATTTAATTTATTCATCAAATTAACGCGGATAAATGAACGAGTCGTATCAATTTTTTTTCTTGTAGAGGAATGAAAGAGTAAATCAGTACCGAAAATCGAATATCGATCAATACCAGAAATCAGTGTCAGAAGATTGTCCAAGTGCAATGACAATTCGTTCTCATTTTTCAGGTAGTTACTTCTACAAGTTAGGATTTGATAAAAAGAAGTCTTTCCCGAGTCGAAATATTAATTCTACATTGATCCTGCAAATTGCATCCAATTTGAAAAATCAACGCAGAATATCTAGATGCGCAATAGTGAACAAGCTTTGTCCTACCTGAACGTTACACATCTGGCTACTCTCGCAGTCTCGCCCATGATGAGTCTTCAACAGCGACGTATTCCGCAGTTATTTAATACTCGTTTATCTCGACAATGTATATGTACTTAATCCTTATATTCTTAATTAATAAATGAGCAATTTTTGTTGATATTGATTATATATTCGCTTAACAGCGCAAGAAAGAGAACAAAGCCAAAGACGTAAATAGAATTGCTTTTGTTAGAACTGCGGGTGAGATAAATATATAAGGATTAAATAATCATATAAGAATATTAGAGGAAATGGGAGATAAAAAACACTTTTTATTCTCATCATTCTTAAAGTTCTTTTTTCCTTTTTTCTTCTCTTTTTTTTTCTTTTCTTTTTTCTAATGAGAATGATGAGAATTGTAGCTCTCAAAAGAGCTGAGGCTGCAAAAAGACAACGGTTATGTCTAATAATGCTGTTTCACTAATAGAGATTTTAATTCAGATTCGGTACAATAAGAAAGATAAACAAGAATGAGAAACGGACATTCTAGCAGATTCTAAACGAAAACAGCAATCCGAGCATTATTAGACGAATAAAAATCAACACTTGCAAAATTTATATCAGATTCCAAGATCATTATTCATAGTTTTCTAAATCATGTGCAATTTTTTATTGAGAACATAATTACAAATTTGTATTCATAAACCTTAGCTTGCCTCAGCAACCTTGCTTGAATAGATACTCATATTTTATGAGAAAAGAAAAGTAGAACTCATGTTACGTGAAATTAAGTTAACGAATAATCAAATCTCAAGCTATTTTATCATTTTTCAGATGATAATGCTATGAATGCTGATCTAATTTCGACTCGGGTATGTCCTTACTTCGAGTAAGGTCTGTTAAAATCAGAAAAATCCTGCGTAATAATAATGACTCGAGGTACCTCCAATACCATACATGATGTATCGCTGTCCACGTCTCTCGGCGCGCTTCAAGTCCTCTCTCCATCCTGGCTTCTCGATCCGACGTCCTCCTTCTGGTTACTCCGTCGCAGCACCCCCGGATACTCCATCGTAGCACTGGCGACGACACTGACTCTAGCTCTAACACTCGCGCAAGTAAGATTCGGGGACAAAGAAACGCGTATTAACCGACACTCGTACTATTCTGCGTCGCGGTACGCGCGTCGTTCGTCGGCCCGAGGCGCAATGTCCTTTCCGCAATCACGGAGTCATATATAAGCGTACGAAACCAAACAATCGGGAAGACACGGTTACCCCCCACCTTGCCGATCAGTGTTGATGCCTGCGTCGTCCGTTAGCTGAAAATGAAAACAACTCGTGTTTTCAAAGTATGCCTGTGAGAGACTCGCTTCAAACTTCACAATACTTATTTACGTCTGTTTCAAGAATCATGTTACGTCGAATTCAATTCATATCTCATCCTTGCGGCTTTGATTATAATAATAATATCCTAGCATAAAATGTGTTCAAAAGTATTATTTCACATTCACGAGATTTCGTCGTGAATTCTGCTTTGCATGTCATTTGCATATAACACACGGTCGCGTACCTCCGAAATGAGTTGTTACTTATCGTTGCTAAGAAGTAAATGTTTTTTAGAGCTCGTTGTATCTCTTCCCGTGCGCTCATTCGCTTATACATTTTAATTAATTACAGAGTAAATGTTGAGAAAATTACAAAATGGCATAATTTTTTTTATTATTTTCACCCATTCTATTTGTACACTGCGGCTGCTTCATGAGTTACCGAAGTCTGCCCATACTGAACAAATATCCAAAATACATCCAATGGATATCCTATAGATATCGCGATATCTAGAGAATATTCATGACATGCATATTGGATATTTGTTTTATATTTGGATATATATCAATGAAATTCACAAATTTTACAACGTTTTTCGTTCGAATAACGTATAGTAAGTTTTTCTGCTGAACACAGTCAATGTGAACGAAGCATCTTAAAATAAACTAGAGATAAAGTAAACTAAAGATGATTTTATATACAAAAATTATATTAAATAAATAAATGAAAATTATACACACAGATACATACACACAAATGTTTTCCATTTCATTTCTGTTGCAGGAAATAAATGTTGCAGGAACTAAGTTAGAAAAATGGTCTTCTCACTCCCTTAGATGCGCGGGATTGTGCGAAGACCATTTCAATGATGCATCATTTCTGACGAGCACGAAGAAACGTTTAAAATTGGATGCAGTTCCAATTCATTTCGAGAGCGAACATGTTAATGAAAATGTAGAACAAGTGAAGAAAAGGAGACATATAGAAGTGGAAAAACTCCCTGAAGAAGTAGAAATCGGAGAGACCACCATACCAACTGTTCTTACAAGTCACATTTCGGAAATGAATATTAATATAGACGAGCAATTAATAGAACGGTATCCACTTCGAACATATGACACGTATAACATAATTAGTCTGCGAATAGTCGATAGACCTTTAAGAGAAAAGCTCGTACATCGAAAAGATGTGAGTTCGCCTTTGTCGCCGAATTGAAGTGCCGGATCTCGGACAGTCGCAGTCGAACGTGCTAGCAGGAGAGAGAGAGAGAGAGAGAGAGAGAGAGAGACAAGCTTTTCGAGCGAGAAGGATTGTGTTGTTTTTCACTGCTACTTGTAATATCTGGACGCGAGTGAGTTACAAGGATTATTGTATGAATGCGCGTTTAACGCATGCTGCATTCAAGAGAACAATTCGTCCGGACTGCGAATAACGCCGCACGACGCGTCATGTGGAGCGTGATCACGAGTCTCTCTCGGTCTTGTCTCTTCTGCCAGAACGTTTCAGAAATAAGCAAATCTTCCCGTTCGAATCTCGAACAACTACACTATCATGAAACAAAGCTTCCAAAATATTGAGAGAAGGAAACAACCCAGTCGACACGGAACATTATATTTATGTTAAAATTTCGCACTCAACAATATAAATGTAATATAACACACATGGTGTTGAGTGCGAAATTTTAATATAAATGTAATGTAACTAATGCTCTGTGTCGACTGGGAATTACCGCCTGCTCTTGTTACGAATTACGAATGTAACGAGAGATAATAATTCGGATAATAATTAGAAGATGCAATTTTTTACAAAAATATGTATAGAAATGCATATGTACAGAAAAAGAATCATGTGCTGTTGAACGAGGTGTAAGTTTGTGCGCGATGCCGTGTTTCTCAAACCCGCAATTATAGGCGTACCACAGACACGAACCGTCAGTAAATGGGCGTAGGACGTACACGCACCAAATAGAGACTTTACCGGCAGCGTCTGCAAATGGGAGTAGTCAACGTAGGCTGCGTTCCGATTATCACTGCTAGTACTGAAAATATATACTTTATGTCACATATATTATAGATTTTCAGTACTGGCAGTGAATATCGGAACGCAGCCGTAGTGTAGCTAAAAAGAACAGACCCATAATCGACGTAGGTATCTTATGGCGAATACATGTAAATAGTCCTGAATATAACCTCCAAATCAATGTGATACCGCCATTTGCCAGGTTTCTTCATGAGCATAAACGAATAACCGCAAATTTGATATTTTTGACAAGAAATAGTATATACGTGATATTTTTTTGCAATAACAGATATGGCATCTGCATTGGAATCTATGGTAGTTGATGAAAAACAACTTCCAGAAAAGCCAGTGGACAGAGAGAAAGTATGTGGAATACAATCGTAATGTTGTTATTTTCCTTAAGACTATGCATATTGAAATATTAGATTTACATATATTCGGACAATTGCAATAGTACATAAGTATCATAATGTATTTATTAATATTTATTAATATTCCAGACATGTCCACTTTTATTAAGAGTCTTTTGCAATACTGGGCGTCATCATAACATAATGGAATATAGTAGAGGGAATGTTCCTTCAAATGAACTACAAATCTACACATGGTAATATATATATATGTATATAGTAGAAAACTAATTATGATATTATTTTCTTAATATAATTTTCTATTTAAGATTATCTCTCATGGGTTTCCTTTTATATATAGGATGGATGCTACTTTACGAGAAATTACAGGATTAGTTAAAGAAGTTAATCCAGATGCTCGTAGTAAGGGCACATACTTTGATTTTTCATTAGTAACTCCTGAATTGCGTAATTCTGGCTATCGTATGCGTGAAATTGGTGTTACATGCTCTGGTCAAAAAGGTGCTGATGATAACAAAACTCTTGCACAAGCTAGGTATGTATATATAACTTAAGTAGTAAAGATAGATACAATATTTTATGTACTATAAATATTTTCATACAATCAAATGAATATATACTTCAAATGTGATTACAGGTTCACAATTGGAGATTATTTGGATATATCAATCACACCACCTAACAGAATGATGCAGCCAATAATAAGACGTGGAGGTTTGCGTCAATATTAATACAAAAAACTTAAGATTTATAAATTATAATAAAGATCATTATTGTAATAATAAGGTCAAATGATATAATTTTTCAAGATTTTGTTCTAATAGATGACTATAGTAATTTTTTTTATTTTGTCAAAGAGCAACATTAATCCCGATATCATAAATCCCGAAAAAATGAAAGTAATTCTGAGCATTAACTTATCATGTCAATTAAGATCGTCATTTCTGGAACGCTATGTATTTAATAGTGCTATCCATTGGTAAGTTGTAAATTTGTATATATTTGAAATAACATCAAGATAATTATAAACTATAAAATTCATATTTATTATGCACTAAATGTTTAGATATTTATATTTGATGATTATAAAATGTTTAATATTATCTTTTCTCAATTGCTTTCGGATCCGTTGATGGTAACGAAACTTTTACTTAAAGCTGATCGTCTGTAGTAACAGTACTTTTTTGATCAGAATATTCTTTATCAACATTAGATAAATGAGGTTTCTCTCTTTTCTTCTGTATTATATATATAATATAATGTATATTTAATTAAATACAAATTTATGTTCATGTGTACACACATACACACACATAGTACGGATATCATATTAATAAAATCATATAAAAACTGTTGATTTTATCATTATAGTTGCATCTTTATGAATAGAACTTTGAAATTATTGAAAAGTATTCAAGTTATCGATTATTTCTATATAAATTTCTGGACAATTAACATATATATAATGTAGAGATTTATTATCAAATTTATTATCAACATTCAAGTATAATTCTGTAAATATATGTAGTGTAATATATCATAAGATCCTTAAATTATATTAAATAATATATATTAAAGTTCAAACTAATCCACTATATTTTTTTTATTTTTTAAGCTTACTACCAGAACACGTACATGGATTAGTACTTATAACTTTCCAAAATTAAAAAAACTTTGAATAGAGATTTAGATCACGATAAGGCATCCACTTATTATCTTAATCTTAAAATATGTAGCTTTAAAATATATTATATTTTATTACACCTGTGTAATGTTAATCTATAATTATTAAAGTTTAAAAATTCAATTCCAAACAGAATACAAAAATAGTTTTCCTTTGTGCTTCTTAATCTTGAGGAAAATATTTTACATACCTTTCTTAATTTTGTGCTTTTTGTTTAGCAAGAAATACATAGAACAATTAAAAAGTGTTATTGTTGAGAACAAGAAAAATTATTACAATGATATATTCTTTTGTATATATATAACGGAGTGTAAAATAGAGAGAAAAAAAATAATTTCAAAAAGATTATATGAGATTTTTCCGCTTTATTTGGTTGAACTTAATTGAATCTGCTGGTCAGATTATTAAGAATATCCTGATATTTTGCAGGCATCCTCATATCGGCCAATTTCGCTGCTCGTTGGGTGAATGGATGAAAGGGATGTAAAACCGACGACGTTGCGTTTAAATCTTGTTTGTAGGCGTTGCCTACCAGCAGAATCAAAAAAAGCGGAGGATAGGGGTTGATGTGTGTCAGATTCTGACATCTGCAGCTGACAAGCAGCATATTATTCTCTCAAAGGGCATCGTTTACACGTAATGTTACGGCGATATCCTGTTTTACATGGTAATTAAATGATATGATTTTATAAAGTACAGTTTCTTAGCGTTAAATTTATAAATCGAGCATGATCGTAATCTTAACACAATATTTTATAAAAAGAAAATACATTCCGTACACATTAGTAGACAGCTTCTACGTTGTCTGTCTATTGCTGGCGCTTGCAAAGTGGAAGGAGCGCAAAGCGACGGAAAGATTGTGGGGTGACTTCTTACCGCAATCACCTGCGGCTATTTTAAAGACACTTCCACTTTAATTATACCAAACCGCTCTCGCGATATTACGATATTATGATATTACGAAGCATAAGCCGGGTCCCGGAGATTTAGGGTCGCGGAAAGTTTAAACTGTACACACCCCAAAAACCCATTCCAGTCCTCCGTTACGATTTCTCCTCGACCGTTATCTAACTTCGACGATAGCGTTACTACCGCTTTCGTTTTCCAGTATTCTCGGAAAATACCTACCTACCTCCCCTGAGTAAATATATAAGGTAGCGTAAGACGTTACTGCCGAGACGATAACACGGAATATCTAACATAGCGACTCGCGCAGCCGTGCTTTTCTATGATGATATTACATTCGCTTGCCATAGGTAAAAAAAAATAAAGAATATATAGAACTCTCGTATAAACGTATAACTTCATTTATTAAAATTATATTGCACAGTTTACTTCTCACTTGCGATCTTGTCTTCGACTTAAGATATTTTATCAAACTTGCGCTGAATTTTGAATAAACTAACATGCATATACAGACAAAACTCTCTAGAAAAATTTCATCATATGCATATATATATATATATATTTCATCATATGCATATATATATATTATGTTGATATTATTTCAACTTTTACATCGCGATTCATTGTTGCGTCGAAGAACAAGCCACAATGATACTCCTCAACGTCAACATTTTTGTACGAAAGCAATCCGCCTTTTACTTATTTATTTATTATCCTGTCTGTGCATTATTATATAACACTTGTTATCATATAGTAGTATAAAATATGTAACGTATCATACAAAAAAAAATTTAACGAGAAAGCTAAGTTTAAAGTACGGCGGAGGGTTTGCGAAGACGGTAGAGCGGATTCATCGTGCATTAGGGGGCCGGCACCTTCTCTCGAAAATTCGCGGGTGTAATCAGTAATCAAATTTATTAGTTTCTATTGTCTTGGGGGGTGAAATTCTTTTCCGATTTTATGGCGTGGAAAGACGATATAATAAGGAGAGAGCCGCCTCGAGCGAAGCTGCGAGTAACGAGGGAATAAGAATGGCTAGGCAGTCGGGGGTGGCTTCGGGGGTGGCTCGGCTCCTCGGAAGGAGGAGGGCAAGATTTACTGGACCCGCTAGTGGCCGCCAACTTCGCAAGGGACGCTTCCTCGAAAACATTAAAGCGATATAATGCGAGCACGCAAGACTTGTTCGAACTTAAACGAGCGTATCTAGAGAGGACGATGTAAAATCGTTTATCGAATTCAAAACTAATTACTGGACTTTTCAATTATTTCAAATTAGTTAAAATATTATTGACATCGCTCGTTTGTAAGAAAACCATAGCTTCCTTACTTGACAATAACATTTTAGAAACGAAAAAACCAAGAATAAACTTGCTTTCCCTTTACGTGTCCTTTTACACTCCTATATCAGCAGTATAAAGATCATCATCAGACGGAAAACAGAATATCCTTTATGTGGGAAGGGAATATTGAATTCGTCCCGCTCATAAAATTTGTAAGAATATATATTTCACCTACGATGGCCTCGTAGAGTCAGGGACGGGCAAAAGAGGGCGAGATAACTCAAATTCTCGAGATTTATTAATTTCCGGAAGCATCAGAGCCATGAGCACGTCAGGATCGATTCGCACACCGGTGACAAGAAATCTGTTGACTCAGGAGAAGCGCGCAGGGGGTGGTTGTAATAAAAATAAATATTCCCGCGCGTATGCGCGAGCGCACAGGGTGGTAAAGTACGGGGGTTGCGAGGGGAGAGAAAAGACGACGGAGGGCACGACGTCGTTCCCCCCACTCGTATGCTCCATAACGATATATAAAGCCGACATATTTCCGAATAAATCGTTTTTTTCAAATCTCGTGCATAGAACGACCGATAAACTCGACGTGGATGGCTCGTGGCAAAGCGAGACGGGGGGCGTCCCGATGCTCGAAAGCCGTCGCCGTTTTCTGCTGTGTTGCATGGATTTTTATTCGACCGCTGGTATATTTATGGACGTGCGATTTGCGTATGGCATCGCGCAGATTCACGCCGCGATGATTTACGCCCGTTTTTCGATTACGCGGTCTCTCCGTGTGCGGATCCATAATCGGAAATATACGCAATCCACATTTGTCCACAATGGAATTTCATTATCCCCCCCATTATTTATGGCTAACTAACGGCGCTGTTGTCACCCTTGGTATCGTTTAAACGCCTTCGTGCGCACGTCTCCGAAGCAGGTGTAGCGAGCGATTTTTCAAAGTACTTTTGTACCATACCTTTCCATTGGTATCATTGTAAATTCCTTGGTAACATAGGGGAAGAAAGGTTATAGTTTGATCTTCACTGTAAATCATTATACGTATTGAGGGACGTCCTTCGATAGTTAACAGTGGTAATTTCAGGATGTAACGTAAAAGTCAGAATTTCACTGTGAGCTTTTAATCTCTGAAGGATTATAATTTTATCTCCGACACGTCGGAGAGCTCGAGTTAGGGTGCGATATAAAAGCAGAAACACAAATCTCGGTCGGTCTCGGGTGGTTGCTCTCCAAGATCTCGGTAATGGACCCCGGATATACTCCCGGAGTGAGTGTTTCCTGGGTCTGAATCAGCTCTAATACCAACCGCTCACGATACAGACGCATTTGTCATTTCGTGTTAGCATGGCTGTTATGAAAAATAATATCAACATAAGTAGACGCTTCAACATTTCAAAATGCAATAATTACGACGCAGCCGTTCATTAAGTTGTCACGAAACTTGGCTTGTCGTTACTCGAACTTAATGAGTCCACGACTTCAGGAAGGACAAATATACGTTTGATGAAACATATGTCTAATATATAATCAGTATTTTGATCAACGACGGTTCAAAATCATATATCAAGCATTCCTTTGTTTCGATATTTTTCCTCCATTTTTCTTTTCTTGGGAATTTCTTTTCTTGGGTATTTTCTATCGAGCTGTATTGTTTGGTATTCCAGCACAGTGCCGATGATGCTTCACCGATGAGTCTGAGTGTGATAGTGGCTGAGTGTGTGCCTTCTTTTTGAGCCCCGCAGGCTGTAATGGACCGCAACATCTTGCGGGGCAGTTCACACACCCTCCCGGCTTTTTTCATCCCTTCGTCATATTTGTTCCTGCTTCTCAGCCGACGGCAGAGTAAAATCACTCGAATCACGCGATCGACAACCTACGGTGACAATTTTCCGTCTCTTTATCGCAAATTTATTTATTCATTTGTTCATATATTATTTTAGATGAAAGTTCGATCACAAAATTTCTCACGTATATTGTCCCTCGACCGAAATCTTCATCCTGGTGATTATTTTGCGAAAATGCGAGAAAATAGCGTTGATGTTCGAAGCATTATATTAAAATCAGTAAGCCCTGCCTTCTCCCCTCTGTAAGACCCGCTTCGCTTCCCTCTTGATGAAAGGCATTAACACCGCGTTGTTTATGAGGCGCCGTAAGAAACCAACGACGTCGGGAGGAAGTTCAGGGGTGAATCGAGACGAGACGTTGCAGGAAAACAAATGATACCGGGATTCGCGACGATAAAAAATTGCACATCTGTTTACATTAATACCTAGTCATTAGCAAGACTTAGTGTCAAAATTCCGGTCGCTGTGTTCTACGTTGCGCGCAAAAGGTCTCGGACAGACAAATGCGACGGATCGGGAGCGGGATTATCGAGCCACAAGAGTGAATCTTTTGATTAATTATTACGACAACGAAAATAATTTCAACTGCGAATAATTTGCGATTTACGAGAGGGAGACAACTTTGACGAGAGGATAATTTTCGAAGATCATCAGAAAAGATGTAACAATGAATATATTTTTAGTTTTAATTTGCTTCTTCTCGAGATAGGATTGCTCTCTATTGTATTTTCGTCAGTAAATCGAAAATAACTAGTTGCGACGATTTCGAGACTTCAAGGTCGTTTTCAGACTGGAAGTCTAGAAATCGTCGCAACTAGTTATTTTCGATTTACTGACGAGAATAGAGAGCAATCCTGTCTCGAGAAGGCAAATTAAAACTAAAAATAAATGCATTGTTACCTCTTTTCTGATGATAAGATTAGCTAAATATAAGACGTTGCTTACTTTTTAATAACGCAAACTGTCAACGCGAAAATAGTTTCGATAGTATTGATAGATGGAAAAGAGAACTGAATACCATAACGCAGAGAATAGAGGTCACGTATCACAAATAACACGAAATAAACAAATAGGCTACATAAGTCTTCTCAAGCGCGCTTCGCCGATTGGAGGTCACGTGATCTCAGAGGACATAACATATACGACGACCGAGCGTCTATGTACAACAGTTGTGTCGCGACGCGTCGCGGGAGATGTGTGCGGTTTCTCTGATTCCGTGTGCGAGATACGTTACAATAATTCGCGTGTGCAATCGTCATCGTCGCTGGAGCATCTTGAGCGATAACGACATCCTGGATTCGTAAGGGTGACTATCATTTTCCATTTCTATTAAATTCAAAGAGAAATATACAGCTTCTGTATTCCGTTTGATAGCGGCTTACCGGCTGTTCATGTTATACCGGAAAGTCATATTCTCTCGTAGGAAATTCACTTTATAAGAACTTCTCGTATTAAATTCATGTTTAGAACATTCTTCTTTAACATAAACAGCAAAGGCATTCTCTCACTTTTAAAGAGGAACCTTCCCTAAGAATTGATAGTAGCGAATTTCTTTGAAATGAGAGGTTATATGTATTTTAGGTTATTTTTACGCTCGATTATACGCGCGTATGCGATACTATCGATAAACGATACTATCGATAAACGATAAACAGAACTTTACGAAGCACACATTTGGGAGGATTAAAAATATTTCGGTCTCCAAAGTCAATACTTGTTGAGAGATATAACTAGAAAAGTCAACAGGTCATATAAAAGATTACGATTGTATCTTATATATTTTTTAGTTCGTTCTTCGTGAATGTAAATGAACACTATTAATTGCTCCTTATCACTTCCCATTTTATTTGTTAAGAATATCGGGAAAACCTAACCTATATAGCTTTCTCACTTTGAAAATCTGTTTTCGTGTAAGAAATCAATACCAATTAGAAAATTTGCTTTCTGTTTTAGATCTGCTTGAGCTTGCGGCTACACAGCGGGTGCGGTTTCAGTGGTTGCAGTTTCGGTGGGCGAGGATGCCGTACCGGAGGATCCGGTTCGGGCCGAGCAAGGTTGGCTCGAAGGTACGTTTACAGACTTTTCTGGTACACTTAACTCGTTGAGTCTTTACAATCGAGAATCGGAACGGGAATAGTCGAGATAGAAAATAATTGAATTACAACGGTCGTAAAGAGTTAAAAGCTTGTACGCGAAAGATGCTTCTCTTGTTTAATTATTAACGTTTATATCTAATCAAGAAAATTGTACTTTTCTTCCAGATCTGTAGCAGAATGCGGCCGACCTTGACTTCCTGGTATTTCGGTGAGTCAGAAAAACAGAAAACGATTTAAAGATTTAAGATGGTAGATTAGTAGCTGGCGAGTGTTTATAAACTTTTATCAATCTATCAATGCGATTCACGTAGAATGTTGCAATTTGAATTTTGGATATACCGTTTGAACTAACAAGGAGATTACTTTTTTAAATATCTACATTATTTAACAGATATTTGAATTTTTATGTGCTTTTCTTTCTTGAGAAGACTCGACATTTTTCAATTTTTCCATTTCTTTATCTTTTTTTCTTCATCTTGATCTTCATATAAATATTCCAACGCTTACATTTGATTCGGAAAGTAAAATTATTCGACAGTTATTCATTCAATGTGGTTGATCTCCTAATTGTTTCCAGCGGTATAAAATGCCCGTCAGAATTGCGCTACTGTGCGCACAATTTGCGATTACTTTATTTCTAATCAATTCTGCAACTATCGTCGATGATCCCGCGGTCTTTAATTCGTGCCGCGATGCAACGTTACTTCGATTGAAATTATCGCTGAATTCGAGACGCGTATTCACACAGCTTCTGTTGAAAGTTAGATTTCTCTTAGCAGACGAGAAACTCGTTTGTTGACAAACGAGTCTAGTCGTCCGCGTAACGGACGTATTTTTTGTCGCGCTCTCTTTCTTTCTCTCTCTCTCTCTCTCTCTCTCTCTCTCTCTCAAAAACCGTCATGCTTTCGATGCGCGATTGTTTACACTCGGCCAACTGGGCGCACTGGGCCGTCGAAGCACTAGACTACATTATCGCGTACTTCTCATAAAATCGTTAAGCGCCGTTAAAGCGACCGCGTTCGCGAGTGCAGTGAAGTGAAGTAAGTGAAGTACGCTCGACGTGGGAACGTACGTACGGCTGAATGTCGAGGAGGCTGGACGGATGCGGAACGATGCAGCCGGGGTGCAGTGGCTTGGACGTCGCGGGATATCGCGAAGCGTAATTACATAGCACATGTGTTTAGTAGACGTAAATCGCATTGATTTCCGAAGCGGAAAAGCAAGGGTAGTTATACACACCGCTATTTAGGCACCGCTGCGAAGGCATTCGGGTAATTTAATATCCGAATTGAAAGTACAGCATACGTTTCGACGATACATTCCACCGCTTAATTAGAACTCTCGTATCAGATAATCCGCGTGTGTGACGAAAATACGAGAGCGGTGAAAATGCATTATCGCTAATCCACTCACCGATATCTCCTAACGAGAACGACAGTTCGAGAAAACGAACGACGAAAAAATACAGCCGTTGTCGATTAATCGAAATAAGATATCCGTAATCCGTGTAATAAATCCGAATTCGCATTCGATCTATAAAACATCGAGAGCGCGCGCACGCGGCATCTTGCCATCGCCCTGTCCATCGAAGGAAATACAGCTTGCCCGATAAATTCATCTTTGCGGAACAAACGATTGTTTTCCCAATGAGTCCCGGGATAAGGACACGAGCGGAAATGAGGGAAGGGGCGCGGAAGGGAGCGGTGAGGGAGCGAGTCCGTCGGCTCCGCGGGCTCGAAGAACGAGAGAACAGCAGAAGGAAGGAAGGTGGAGGAGAAGGGAGAAGAGGAGGAGGAGGTGGCGGCGGAGGAGAAGGAGGAGGGAGATGGGAGACGTCGGAGGACGGCCCGGGCGTTCATCGGACATTTATCCAATTAACCGATCCGAGTCGAGTAACCGGGGGTCAGGAGATCGTTCTGATACCTATACATATATCCACACGTACGCGCCCTTCCGCGTTCCTCCGCGAGGGCGTCCGTGCGGATACCAGAAAGCTCCATTACGTATATACCTAATGCCGAATGTTGATCTGTTATGTTTAATTACAGGGGCTGATATTGACGGGTCGGTATGTGCCCTCGAAGAGAAGAGAGCGCAGCGCCGCGCGGCGGGGTGGGAGCGGGCGGGTGGGATTGGTTCCGGTTGCTTGTTCGCAAAGTCACCCCTTTCTCCGTGCCGGTCCGAGCGGAGGAGAAGCGACGGAGGCGCTCGGGCACTGTCGAACGAAATGGCCAGCAATATTGTCGTCGTGGTTCGGGGGATTTGCGTGGGGCGGATCGGAAGGGGTTGGTAGGGGCCGCCCGAGTGACACGGGAAATTAATTATACGCTCCTGGAAGTCCTGACCTCCGATAGAACACCCGAAGCAGACTGCGCCGTTCGCGCCCTCCTCCTGCTCCTCCACCGCCACCCCCTAGCGCCACTTCCACCCCCGCGTTCCTCTTCCGCGTCGCGTTCTCTTATTTTCCGATGATGAGAATCGGCTTCGTTTCTTTTCCCGCGGCAGCTCCGGACATACAGGCGGCATCGACATGTCGGAGGCATCCTTTGAGATGTCCAGCTTTGTCGAGGGGGAGGTACATCTGCTCTAAAAACCCAAATCGGCTGTTGAGAGACTCAACGATGAGAAAGACAGCGAGATAAAGACACATTGAGGAGGATGACTGATGTAAATACACTTGCGGTACGGTAGAGTGTGGCATTTTTTTAATTTTTAATGTAAGAAATTTTGAGTATATATGCACGCGTAAAATATCTTGCGAAGAACGGAATATGCGAGATGTATGTGGCGTTAATATTGGTTATAAATTATGCTTCTCTCTCTCTCTCTCTCTCTCTCTCTCTCTCTCTCTCTGTACGTGTGTGTGTGTGTGCGTCTCTCTCGCGTTGTAATTACGAGAGCGCGGTGTTACACGGTGACAAATTTATTGAATCGTCGAAGGGACCGCAACGACGTATATCTATTTATTTTGCGTGGCCCACGGTGAGACGACGGTTTGCAAGAGAATATTGCATTTCCAGTCTCCGCAAGCCATCTCTCTTCATTTGTCTCCTTCCGACGTCGACTTCACCCCCGGATTCTATAATCCGCTTACGGCATGGACTCATTACACAGCTCACATTATTAATACCGCGTATAACGTATTCTTATTAGTTATTCTCGGAAGTATAAAGTCAGCTCTCCTTATCCGCATAGCTGACACTGTCTGCTTGCTGTGAAACTCTGTTAGGATTTGTCACCGTTCCTCCATTACTCTCGCGTCTCTTCCATTACTTCTAAACTATATAGCATCGCGTTGATAAATATTTCCACGTTATCACGATTAAACGAGACTTTCTCTCTCTCTCTCTCTCTCTGTTCGCCGCCGCGTGCACATTCGCTTAAAAATAACTCCGAGACGTGTACGGGTCGTCTCGAGGATTAAGGATTAAACTCCGCTTACACGCTCCGTTGCATGTTTCCCTTTTTCTACGAGGAATTTTCTGACTTGGACGCTTTGTTCAAGATAATGCAGATATGACTGTAGACTCAGTTTGCGTCGTTTACGAAAGACAACGCGGTCAATCCGTCACAAGAGGATTCTGGGCCGCCGAAGGTGCGTGGCGCGCGCGCGAATTTTTGTGGGTGTATAACATTTGCTTGTTCGTTCGCGCGATTGTTAATGAACGCGTAGGAGCGCTGGCTTTGCATGTCATCTGGCGTTAGAACTCCGGATTGGGGTCTCAGGCATAGATTAGGATGCGTCGTGTTCACATGCCGGCGCGCTTCTTAGACACGGCGACGGCAAATAAGGCAGTCGGATTCTAATTGCCAGTCATAAATCAGGGACAACACCTGCACGATTCCGAAATGTTTATGGGGGCGGTGCTGTTACATCCTTCATTAGAAGGACGAACGGATGAGATGACGAACTGATTCAAGTTTAACCGACGCGCCGTGACATTAGTGTTACTAATTGCGTCTCGGCAATCAGCGGCACGTGTCATTCCGACGATTTCGCGTATATAATTGTTGTGTTCGCTTATTATCTCATTTTTTTCTCGATTATTTCAATCGTCTCCGTTCCTTTCCCGGCTCCCAAATATATGATCCGTATTTGTGGGTCAACCGAAAGTCGGGCGAACAACAAAATGCGCGCGCGGTCTCTTTCTCTCTTTCTCCTTCTCTCGTTCCCTCTCACGGATCGCAACTGCGCGAGTAAATGTATGCGAAGGCGTCGTTGCAAGATGCAATTGAAAAAGCGGCATTAACGAAATTGGATTTCTCCTTATCTATTTCGCGTCTCGGAGCGAAGGGGTGAAACGAGTGTTGCGCCGTAATGTAACTCACGCGACGAACAAGGCGCCAGAGGGGGATTCGGACGATCTCATCGGCGTTTTCCTGCCGAGCGTCGAATTAGCGTAGAATTAGCGCCGGAGACACGACGAGAGGCGGAGATTAGCGGAGATGTAAATTAGGCGCCTCCTTCGCCAGTTTATCATTTTTGTCGGGCGGTTCAGTTTGTTCCGTAGTAAATGCAAGAGCAACACCGAAAATAACTGATCGACGAAAAGGGTTGTCATTGCAATTAAAAATTTGACACTCGCGCGCGAAAATTGTGAGAGCGACGGCGCGCGCGGCGCGGACGGCCGCGTAGTAACGAAGTCAATGAACGACATTTCAAACCTTTATCCGGCGAACCGTGGGCTGAATCGTCTCACGATTTCACTAAGAGCACGCTGAAGGCGGTGGATTAGCGAAGCGAGCTCCCGAGGTATCGCTAGCGACCGCCGACGAGTTGCGGGACTGTATTAAGTGCGTTTTGTGATGCACAAAGCCGCGGCCTGCAGGGAGCGGCAATCGGCTTTCCTTCTCTTTCTCTCTCTCTCTCTCTCTCTCTCTCTCTCTCTCTCTCTCTCTCTCTCTCTCTCTCTCTCTCTCTCTCCCCCTCTCTCTCTCTCTCTCTCTCTTTGAGGGGCGCCGAAAAGGTAAAGGGGGACACGAGCGGGCCGACAAAAATAAGAATAGTAAATAATATATTCGAGTAATAGGGGTTGCCGCGCGCTGCACGGCCCACCCTCCGAAGCGCGGCGCCTTCTTATGGGGGATGAAGAGGGAGAGGGCGCGAGAATGAACGTAATGAAAAACTGGGGCTGCTTAAATAAAATAAAGCTTGTCGGCATATTATTGGCGGGAGGGCCTGTACTTTATCTTCCACCCTGTTTTGCTACCACC